CACGACGGTTTGCGCGTCGGCGCCGCCGGCCAGCGGTACCGAGAGACTCGTACGCTCCAGGTTCAGGATTGCCGCCGTCATCTTTTTGATCCGTCCATCGTACGTCGCGATTGAGCCGACGATCCGGTCGGGATTCCACCAGCCGAAATACCGGAAGATCTCCGAGACTATCGCGAGCGTAGCGGTGACGGGGCGCGCAAACACGGCCACGAGGGCGTCCGGGCAGAACCACAGTATCCGATCCGTCATCTGACGCACATAATTGGCCGTCAATTTGAATTGCTCCTGGGCCATCGTGTTACCTACCGCGGTCACGTCCATGAGCGCAACGATGTTCGCCTAAACATTTTTTCAATATTTATGATATATTGTACATGTATTTATGATATATTGAGATTGTTATTGTTTTAACATCCACAGACTTTTTGATTACAGACTTTTTTTGTGTGTAACTGTGCGTTTGAATGTATGTATGTACAATAATGTATGTACATACACAGTTGGAATACGTTTATTTCTCTCCTCGACCAATCACATGAAAGAATTTTACACAGTTGCAAAGCTGTTTTTTTTTCTGCTGAACACAGCCGATATGTATAATATACATCGAAATAATTAATGCTTCAAAGTGTGAATTTACACATGTCGCAGAACACACGTCCCTCGTGTAATCTGATATAAAGACTTAATGCCCATTTCTACCAATGTAGATTAATTTTAATTCAGGCATCAATTCTATACGTACAACTATAATATGTACAACTATTTTTAAAAAATAGATAAATATAAAAACAATTTTTTCTAAAATCGAACAATGCTTAATTACAATTTATATATATGTATATACAGGGTATTTCTAAAATATCACAGCAAGAAAAAAAGAGATATTTAAAAAACGTATTTATTATTTTTAATTTCGAACAATAGTTTTTATGAGATAAGATTAAAACCTGGCTAATTATGGCTGCGGTCCACTTAACGCTTCAAACGCTACAGAGCATTTGTAGCACTAACATGACTGGTCCATTTGACGCTTCGGAACGCTCCCAGCAACCCTGATTACGTCATCAATACGTCATCGTTTTCGCTCCCACTTCGCTCCAACTACCTCACCTCGGGAGGTGGGTTGGCTGGAGCGTTCACCTAGCAATTGTAGCATTCGGGACAGTAATGGACCAATCGGAGCGTAGCGTTCAGAGCATTTGAAAGAAGCAAGTGGACCGCAGCCTATAGATTACAGTTAAATGGCCACTTAACCATTAATCTATAATTAATCTATAAACCTGCAGTTTTTAATCATTATCTTTTAAAAATTGCTCAAAATGAAAAATGGCAAAATACCTCTGTTGTCACTTATTTTTCCAAGAACTCACTATGGTATTTTGATGCGTGAATTTCGAAACATTCTGTATATACAATAATAAAGCAAAATTTTCAATTTCTTCTCAATCATCAAGTTAGGTCCTGATATTTCTCTCTTTTCATCATTTTATTTTATTTCAACAGCACAAAAAAATTTTCCATGTATAATGTGTATTTCTCGAAACTCTTACTTCTCTGAGAGCCTGCTTTGTATCCTTTTCTCGAAAATAATCTATACGAGGACTGGTTTCCAGGTGTGACATATCTGTCAAAGCCTCTGATGAGAAACCCCTTGTATCCATCAGACGTATGCTTTTGATAATCTTATATTGCTTCAAAAGAATCGCGGTGTAAAGAGGCGTCACTCCCCCGCCGATGATACATACTCTGATGTTAGCCTTGTTGTCTTTTTGCACATTTTTATCTCTCTCTTTCCTCGTCAATTTTTTCACACTCTTCTCCTCGACCCTCTGGACTTTTCGGTAGTCAGTCGAAGAGTTTTTCGAAAATTTGCAACGCAAGAAAACAGGATAACGTCTATATCGCCGCGACAAATCGAGAAACAATCTCGATGCATCTCAAGTGCACCATCTCAAGTGCAGTCATAATTAAATGATTTTTAACGTTTTTATGGCTATGAAAAAAAGGAGTACGATTTATAAATACATTTTTCACGATTTTGTAGAATGAATCCAAAAACAAGAATATAGTATTATCGGAAGTGGTCGTACGACTCACGATTTATGCGGGACAAACAAGTGATTTGCGATACGTGAAATGCATGTGAAGCTTGTACATACATACATACATGAAGAAACAAATTGATACCCCTGCAACTTAATTAAAGCGAGTAATAAAAGTCAGAGATGCGTTTTTTTTATTAATATAAAGAAATATATATATATATATATACTTTATTCTTGTATGACAAAAATATATATCTACCTATGTACATATATCGTACTGTGTATCATGTTACAAATACAAAAAATATTTTTTAAACATTTTATCATGTAAACATTCTTGCAACAATCTCCAATGTAACTACTCATTTAGATTCGTGCTGCGCACAAAGGATTACAGAATGGGAATGAGAACAGGAAATAAACAGATTTCAACTATTAGAAATTGATTACACCGGAATACATAGCTTCTGATAATAGGTTGAAATCGGTTATTCCCTATTCCTATTCCTTATTCCTTTGATTGTACGCAGCCCCTTATAATTTCTTATATAAAAATTCTACGTTTGACACGAGCAGATCGACGGATAACCGTGGTGAATTTGGAAAAAAAAAAAAAAAACCTGGGTATCATGTTATAAATACAAGAATTTCAAAACATCGTAAACACATATAACTTCCGATAACTATCCATTTTATACAAAAATTTTAGGTAATATTTTTAGGCATTTGATTCTAACAAAAATCGATTATCAATCATTGACGGACGCAAGTTTGAAAAATCTGATAGAAAACATCCTCGTGCGATTCAAGTAGACAGATAAACGCCACGTTTATAACGTTTATAACTTGCAATGCAATTTTTATGAAACTCTGTCCTGTTTGTCTTTTTACGTTCTGTTTATTTGAACATATATACACACACACACACACACACACACACAAAACAAAATCTTGTCACTTCAACGATGGTGATCCAGGCTGAATGATAATATCAGACATGTCCGATATCGAAGAAATCTTCAATTCTTTCTCGTTCGCCAAATGTAGCATAGATATAAAAGAGATCGGTACGCTCAATGCCTCGGCGTTGGTTTTCGTCAGCAATTTCGGGAGTGCCTTGTAAACGTCACTGAATTGCTTGCTCTCCTTCATCATATCGGTTTCGTCCACCGTTTCTCCAGTATTTGCCGCATTATTATTCGTGGACTTCAAACAGGTCCATATGGATTTCTTTAGCTGTCGCATGTCAATTTTCTTCGCTTTCAAACAATACGCGATGGATATTTTATTAACCAACTTTGGTGCGGCGACTAGATTGTCGCCGATGAGACATCCCTGGCTATCCATTACAGCGGCGCTATCGTCAAAATTACAATCCTCGTTACCATCCTCCCTTCCATAATCATCATAATCTTCATCGTGTTCAACATTGGGACAGTATTCCAGCGTGTCGTTTGGATTGTTATAGTCGTATCTCTCGCCATCGGATACGTCAGCGACATTCACCGCATTCCCGTTCTCTTTCTCACTATTTTCCGACTTTATAATTAATCTCTTGTACATGTAGAGCTTGCTCCCCTGCGCAATATCGTAATGTACATCCTCTGGTAGGGTCAAATTTTCGGCGCTCCATTCAGCCTTCGCGGTTTTGGCATGTAATTTAATGGACTGGCTCGATGCGAACTTTGCGTCTATGACATCGCGCGTCTCGTCATACAGTAGTTTAAATTGTTTTCTCTTTTCTTTTTTCTTAGCTTGCATGCAAGCTACTTTTGTACCACCTTCGGTGACAGCAGAAGACTTCATAAAATTCCAAAACTTCCAATGGAACGGGCCAGCCCAATGCAGGCTCATGCTTGGTTGAACAAAGGAGTACTCGGATGCCCGGACGTTGTGCACTTCCACGACATTCACTGGACGATCCATTGTTTTTCGAAAACATGCCTGAACATTCTCGTTGTCATCATGTTCGATGTCGAAGTAGTTCATGGGTTCGGACACTGGATCGTCATCATGCTCCACACTTGCGTCCAAATCAAATTGAAATCGGTTCTCATTGTCATCAGGGGATTCGATTTCCTCTTCCGGCTCATTCTCTACAGACCAGCCGAGAAACTCAAAGTTTGAATATAACGCACAAATCTCAAAATTCGAGAAATCTTCGATTCCTGGTATGACATACTTTACGTTTGAATTATTTTGTGATTCAGGTTTATTCTCTAAGACATCAACGAGCACGTCGTTACATGGATGCTGATAAAAGCCGGAATTTGCGTGGTTCGGCAGCGTCGCTTGGTACAACATATCGCTGGTCTGTAGATCTCCTTCGCCCATCATCGCCGACATAGGTTTCGCGATCTCGATGTTGCCTCTCAGAGCCTCCACAGTGCTGAAGATCTTTTGCTTCGATTTCTTCTTCTTTTTTTTCCGCACCTCGGCGTTTTCCGCTTCTTCCTGCACAGTTTCTCCCTGCTCTTCCAAATTTTGCTCCATATCTTCCATCACTTGTTTATCCAGTCCACCAACCATTTTGAGTATTTCCATATGTACATTGTCCACACGATATCCATAGATCTTGGTGCTCACGTCCAAGGAGGTGCTAGCCACTTGCAAATTCGACATATTGGCATCCTGTTTCTTTATCATATACGTCATAAAGTCGATCATCTCCAAGCTAAACGCGTTCTTGATATTGATCTTGTTCTCAGCATTCAGTTGTATGCATTTATTCATGCTCTCGGCCATCTGGGGCGCCGGAATATTCGCCAAAAATCCCAGGCCCAGAGATAATCTTTTCCCACTACTATTTCCATTAGACGGTGATGTTGTAAATATCTCACGTCGACGAGCGATACGTTCCGCCTCATCGTCATTTTCTGATAAGTTATGTGCTGATGGGATTTGAACAATGGACTTTTTTCGTAACGGTGAGGAAGAATTTGGTGAATTTTGTATAGATTCTAATCTCTTGTGTATTATAGATTTGCGAGAATCCATTTTATCAAAAAAAAATTTATAACTTTTATTTATATATGTATTTATATATATCCTGTTATAGGCTATACTTCTGAAGTGTCAGAAGTATACTTACGCTCAGAAGTACTCTCACGCTCCTGAAACAAACAAGCATACATCGTTTCAATTAGCACGATAAATTTTCAGTGACACAAGAGAAGTAAATCACTTATATAATTCTATTGCGTATTTCATTTCTATACCATTTTTCAGTCATTGTTAATAAAAATTATAGTTAAAGAAAAGTATAAAGCACTATAAACTATATCACAAACTGCTTGTATAAGCAATTTAATCTAAAGGTTTTGAGAATTATGTTATTCTTAAATAAAAATTTTCTTAAAGAATTTTTAAAATATTTAATAAGTTTATCTGAAATAAGTGGAAGAATATTGTCGGATAAATTTATGAATCTAACTACTTCAATGAATTTATTAAGACAAGCTTGAGGAGAATATTAGGAAAAACCATAATTATATGGTTATAACATAAACAATTTATGATAAACGGGTTACTTTTAAGTCTGTTAAAGATCTCCAATCAAACTGGAATCATTAAACAAGTAGTTTGTACTAATTGAAAAAGTTGCATTCAGTTTTTAAAGTTTTGAACAGTCACTTTATTATTAGATTGGTGCACAAAGATTAACGAAGAAAGTACAGAATTCTTGAAAGAATCAGTATTACTCTGGAGCTTGAAAAAAATCATTTTAGTGGCCCTACATGGTCAATAATACTGTCAGTACTAATAAATACTGACAATATTATCAACCATGTGTGGTTGATATTGTTGATGGATTGACATAGAATATTGATTGTGATCTGGATTTTAATTTTCAAACATTAATATCGCTTTATTAGGATTCATGTCACAGTGTAATAGATAATGTATATAAAACAAAAGTGAAATATATGTCAACAATACTGATTATATAAGGTTGTAAAAATACTACAAATATTGATGCATACTGTCAGTATTACTGACTCAGTATTACTGATCGGTATTATTGACTATGTAGGGTCAACTTTAGTCACAACGAAATTCTCAAAAACAGTTTAAGCGGGTTATGTCAATTGAGTGTACTTAACAATAGATATTACTTGGCAGTATCTATACCCACCGATAAGGCGGTAAAATTCTTCGCTATTTTCTCGAGATCGGCCCTGATTAACTGCAACAGAATATAATAACGTTGCAATTCATCGTGAATCTTCTGCAGAACTTGCAACGTGCGTTCGTCGTGAGAAGGCATTGGACTCGACAGAAATATACGTGAAACACTCGGACAACATTTTACGTTGAAATGTTAAAAGTAATGCTCATCTCAATTCCACACCTCCGGATTAACCTCGTAAAGTATGTTGTACAAAAAGTACGAAAAGCACGTTGCGTTTCTATATCGAGCAATGTTACATTTAAATATTTACAGACGCCGTCAATGGACGGTATTGGCGTTACCGCGCGTTCCTAAAAGCATTAAGTCTGTCACACATGAAATGCATAAAGCTGGTTCTACATTAGTCACATCGCAGCGTCGCAAACTTGCGACACGCTTGCGGCATTGCGATGCGACTAATGTAGAACCAGCTTAATAAATGATCCTTGCAATTGTTGCAAACGATTGAGAAACGCAGTGAACGCATCCGTGTCTCCAGATATACAGAATAATAACTTAAGTAATTGTAAGTGTAATCGTATCAAATTACAATTACAATTTCTGTAATCGAGAATCTCTTGTGATTACAGATTATTTGTAATTGTAATCACTGCATGGACGATTACGATTACTATAAATGTAATCGTAATCTGTCAATTCTACGATTACATTAGTTGTAATCGTGTAATCGATTACAAAATGTCCAATTCTAATCTCTACCATTCGCTAAAAACAGGTCACGTCAAAATTGCCGAATAACAAGCTCACGCGATACTCGACGCTTGATGCTGCCATGCAAAAGTATCTTTAAGGTAAATTTTCACGAGCTGCTCAAACCGGCTGTTTCAGCGACAAAAAGAATCACATGGTCAAAATGGACGCTCGTTAATTTTGACCACGTGATCCTTTTTATCGCTGAAACAGCCTGTTTAAGCAGCTCGTGAAATTTAACTTTAAGCATAACGCATAGTGCATAAACGAATCAACTAATCAGAACCTTTCCTTTCCTCCTATTTGTTACTTCTCAGGGTGGTTCGGCCAATCATCGGTTTCGAATTACCCTGAGACTATTGCTGGATTCACACTGCATCCGATTTTCGTCGTACGACGCTC